ACGATAACGGTCCCCCACCTCCCACGATCCTCGATGCGTTATCTCACATGACCCTTGGGTACCGCCAAAACTCCCCTCTTTCTGCGGGGTTCCTCAGCAAGACTTGAACTCCCCATTTGCCGCGAGATAGAAAAAGCATCAAATCGTAGGTAGGTAGGTAGGTAAGTAGGTATGTACATAAAGTGCCTCACAATCATACGTTCTTTCACAATCCAGGAAATATCTTCGACAAGCTTGAAATCAGGCTTTCCTTTCTCTACTTTCCGGGATACCTAATACATACTTCCCACCGCCTCGGTCTATCATCTTTGACCGATCTAAAAGATCCCTGATCGTAATATCGTTCTAACGGATAAGGCCGAATGCGATGTTTGCTCTACACTCGTTCGCGATTATTGGGGAACGCGACATCTGTTAAAATAATTTCTAATCATAACGTAGCTCTTTTCTCTTATCTGAACTGGCAGACATCTGTGCGTATATTAAGTATGACCTTTTTTTTTTTTTTTCAATCTATATGGAAAATATAATCACGAAGGTTAGAATGATTTAAAAGAAAGTCATGTACATATCGAATTATAGATTAATCACCTCCTGATGATCCTTTTTCACGATTACAAATTTATATTTGAAATGTTGTGATTATAAAAAAAATATTACTTTTACAAAGAAACGTGAAAATTCCAAGAAATTAATGATTATAAATATTAATTTATATAATATAAATTAATATATGTGAAACAAATGTATTCACCTCTGCATCTTTCGTGGTAAGCAGATCCTGCAGTTGGATGCATTTTTCGTTCGCCTCCTTCAACTCCTTTGATCGTTCGTCTGGAAGTAAATAATCATCAATAAATTAGAATCATTTATTACGCTTCGTGATATTTTGTAAATCGTATTAATCACTGTTATACTGAACTTATATTACTAATATTACTAATTTATATTTGATAAATAATTAGAAAAAAATTATGACAAAAGTTATGACGTGAATTATTACGGCAATTTTTAATTAATTTCCTAATATGTATTTTCCCACAGAAATCCAAAGAGAATATGTCGATAAACAATTACGAATAATTGCAAAATTATTAACAATAATAAACTATAAGTAAAACTGATTTACAAAGATAATTAAAAAAAAAGAAATAAAAAAATTAATCTAAAACAATAATAAAAATTAATATTAATTGTTTTCAAATCCATTCATATATTCAATGTAATATTCATTTTGAAAATGAATGAATTCTAAATCAAAGTTTTAATTGACAATCATCAACAATCACAGAAATGTACATGTAGAATTAATTTGTAACAAAAAAAGAAAAAATACAACAAATTTAAAAGATAATGAAAATTAGTGGTAATAATGTTTTTAAATCATATTCGATGTAATATTAATTATTGTTCGTAATTATTATAAATACATTGTAATATTCATTTTTAAAATGCGTAAATTCTCGATCAAAGTTTTAATTGCATTATATCTATTAACAGATTTATACTTTAATAGAATATTATATATAAAAAAATATATGATCTTTTATATTATATAATTTATACTGATCAAATATACTGTTTTGATTACAGTCGTTAAAAAAGATTACAAGCAAAAATAGACCAGCCACGTGATTAGTGAACACTCAAGTGGTAACAATTTCTCAGTCGATAAGAAATACAATAGAATCGTCATTTGACAGCCGTAACCTAACCCTTTTACTGGAAAAACTATCGAAAATACCAAGATTATGAAAATATCAAGATCTGGAGTCGCGTTAGAATTTCGAAACATTAATACATACCTATTTCGTCAACGATACCATCAGATAAAACCTCCCTCGTGAGATTCGTGATGTGTCCTTTTAAACTGGAGATACTGGATAAACTGTCACCGAACCACGCCATTTTTCGTTAACGATGAATGTCGCTTGTGTTATTCGATAAGTACACTGGCATTTATCACTGGGAACGATCGTCGTGCGTATGACACATCGCAATGGTGGAAAACTCGAATTCGTTATGTCTATGCGAATTACAAAACATGCTAACACGTATACACTTGACAGCAGACAGGTTGAAACTCTTTCTTCTCGATGAGTTTTGGAACGCACTCGAGCCTTAGATTAGAACACATACTTCTAATGGCTTCTGCACACTGGATGCGAAAACGCTCGCCGCGAGGTAAAATGTGACATAGTAGCTAATAAGCTTATACTTTCTAACATGTTCATTGGTTATCGTGTCGCATTTTGCCGCGCGGCAAACGTTTCCGTGTTCAATCACAGTGTGCAAGAGCCATTAAACTCCAGCCAATTGTTCGCGGAGCTATACAGTGAGTGATTGTACCAACTGTCGAGGTTGCCTATACATACATGTTCGATCAAATTTTAATCATATATTTCATTTAATTAAACAAAATTTTCAAATTTAAGTATTAAGTTTAATTAATAATGTATATAGTATGCGACTTAAATTTTAACAAATAAAAATTAATAAAAATTAATAAAAATTAGTGATTTTGGAAACTGCAGAAACTTCTAGGAATCATAAAAAAATCAAAATTATTAAAACAAGTGATGTTTATTCTGATACAAATAAAATAACAAAAGAGAATTGAAATACTTATCTTCCAAAAAATCCTAACATTTATAATTGTTGGTGCGTTCCAAAACTTGTCGAAAAAAAGTGTTTTAAATCTTCTTATTGAGTGTGTATATTCTTACGAAATGTGTATTGAGTGTGTATATCCTTACAGCAACGTTGCAGCAATATTATCTTGAAAGATTACAATATTGTAATAATATTGTCCGCTAAAATAAAATATTGATGTAATATTCTGTGATATTCCTGCAATATTCAAAAAAATATTGCAGATATATTGCTGCAACATTATTTTATATTATAAATTTTGATAACGAATTTTTTAGTAAATTCGAATAATTCAGAATTTTGATGATAAAAAAAAACTTTATTATATTAAGTTTATATTGTATCTATATTGTATATAAAGAAAATTTTTTTAAAAATAAAATGTTGTATAAAGATATATAAGATTATCGATGATATATGCGTGAAGTTTTTTTATATTTTCCTATTTTATTTTATATTATATTTTTATTTTACTGAAGGTTTTTAATAAAGTGCTAAATATATAAAAGCGCGCTGTTTTCTACTTGCTCTTATATTCCATTTATTCCAATATGGCATTTATTATAATTATGATTGCGATTATGATTGCGAGATTATTATATCTTGGAACTACATCATTTGTGAGAGGAAACTAATTTTATATGTTAATTTATAGCGTACGAATGACTATAATTTCGGAAATGTTATCATAAATTATCGATTTTTGCCACGAGTGCGACGTCCGCGTATTGCTAATTTATTTTTACTGAAAATATACTTGCCCCGTATGGAAACCAATGTTATTTCTGTCGTTACATTTCCTTCATTATATACGAAAATTGGAGAATCGCTTGATGAAACATATGCAAATCGCATTTAGGAAGCACAGAGAGAACTTCACGAAGCACGGTTTTGTTTCCATTATCATTCGAGATGTCTGCGCCAAAATAAGCAAATATGTTGTATAAATAAAAATATAACATATAGAAGATATAACATAAATTATACTAATCAAACATAAATGTTTATTATGTAACATATAGGATTACATTTAGATACATAAGTATACATATATGATATAAAATTATATAATAAAATTAAAATGACATCAAATAGAAGTCATTAGGAAAAGTCACAATGATCACTCGATAGTTTTATTATCATGTTTAGAATTCATCATAAAGTCATCATAAAATTAAAAATGTATCGAATTACATTATGAATTACATTATGATTACATTATGATTTTTCCTAAAATGACTTATATTTCATCTTATGATGTGTTCTATATGAGGGAATATAAAAAATACAAATATCTACGAAGCAAAGTTTACTTTGGCAATAATAATAATTGGAGTGTAAGTCGAATGTAAGGGGAGGTAGAAATGTAAACGAAGCTTTTAGGAGGCAAAAATTGAGACAACGAAATGTAAAGGAAACACTTCTTTTACATTTCATTGTTTCAATTTTTGCTTCTTGTAAGCTTCGTTTACCCTTCTGGCACTCTCCCTTTATATTCGACTTTCGCTCTGATTTTTGTTTCCGTTAGACTCTACAGTATATATGAATATATAAACTGTAAGATATTTGTTCATGCGTCTTTTATTTTTCTCACTAGGTAAAGGTTATTAGTCTCGCGAAAAAATTTTGCATATCACTGCAGCGCAGAAAACATTCTGGGTAATCAATAATGTGTGTATAAAGGTATACAAAGGAAGAAAGCTCGAAAAATAATTTGCGGTTGGCCGCGACTGGCCGTGTGTGGTACAAATGTGATGGCGCGTGCCTTTCACGCCATTCTCTAGATACAGCGATAGAAATTACGGCGGCTGTATTAAATAATAGCTTATTCTTGCATCTATTGATTTATTAAATGATATTCCTTCAAACGACTCCGCAAATCTAAAAGGATAACGAAATGCAAAATACTATAAATAGAAACGTCGATAAGAGTTTAACTTTAGATTCGCGTAAACTTTAGATCACGTTACTCCTATTCTGCAATTTACTAAAATGCAGATAAACATCATTTCGCACCGCGTAAAGTTCGCTTCTGGCATTTGCTGAGCAATAATGTCGCGCTTTAATGTCCTTTTAACGTAAAGCTCTTTTTTATTTTCAATAGTTTTACATTTACGTCAACTATGCTGACACATTTCGATGTGACGAAATTCGCGATTTTAAATAGCGCGAGGTCAACAACACGAAACCTCGAAATCATTATTCTTCACTCGATAAATACTGGTTATTGGCATTTTATATTAAACGCGAATTTTTTCACAAAACTCCTTTGAAGGCGCAACAGCAAAGAAAAGCCTCGAGTCTTAATCAATTATAGTGGTATATCTTTGAAAAAATTGCGCACGTGGTTTATCCGACGAAAATTTCTGTCGGCGCCCATGGGACAGAATCGGGAACGATGTCGAGCACCTCCCTCCTCTCCAAGAAACGCGATGGCGAGGAAATCCTGAGGTGAGGGGGTGAGAGGAAGTCCGTAGGAGTCGGTGGTGGTTTCGATGATAGGGATAGGGGTGGCGCGCGGACGGGAGCGCCATCTGGCCGTTCAGTGCCCGGCCACCCTCGGTACACCCCGTGTGTGACTCGCGCTCGCGGCTTCCGGATTATCGCGGCTAGTTTAGCGGGCCCCGAGGATTGGGACAGCAGTAGTGAATCGTGCCTTAAATACAGTGACCAGTGTATGCCTTGAACGCGCGACGCGACAAAAAAGGTAATTATCCCCCTGAGTGATGGTGGCGGCATCGACAGTCGCGAGAACGGCTGTCTTTCTCACGCGCTTTTTCCCTTTTGAATGTGAGATGTGTGAAGTAATAGGAACTGGAAGAACGGAGGTGGGGTAATCTCGGAGTTATGGCGTAGAGAGAAAGTGGAAGCGGAGACGCCGATGTTGTAGGTAGACGATTCCCTCGCAAGGATCTTGGCTTCTCGCAAGGGGAAGCGATGACGAGACGACCGAGACGAGGCGCACGCGATTCGATGAATCGATCCATCCGTCCGTCTGCCGCCCCGATACCACGGCACCACGGCATTCGCGCGACCCCGAGTGCGCGAGTAGTCGAGTACAAGTAGAGAGTACTCGCGTCGCATCCCGTCGGATGAGAACAAACGTCATCGTCTTCGAGCTCCTGCGCGAGGATGTTGCCAAGTTACTCTCTCCCTTCAGGCGTCTCCCCGTCGACCGAACGACCATGAGGCCGACATCGGCGACGTAATATTGGCGACGACGGGGGTGAAGGCGCGCGTTGTGATTCGCCCACACGGGGGAGGGGGGAACAGAACGGAGACTCCTCGAGGTTTGCTTAGACCTATCGAGAGAGAAACATATAGATTGATAGATAGATAGAGAAAGAGAGAGAGAGAGAGAGAGAGAGAGAGAGAGAGAGAGAGAGAGAGAGAGAATGAGAAGGGGAAGGGGAGTAACGGGGCGAGCATGATATCGGCCGCTCGGTCACCCGCGGTGGAAACGTGGGCCGTCACCTCCTCGTCGCCGCTCGGCCGCGTCCGTCGGGTCTGGCTCCCGCGCGCGATTGATCGTCGGCGGCGCGGCGCGCGTCATCGCCGTCTGTCCATCCGAGTCCCGATTCCCGCTAGTCCCGCTTGCTCGGCGAGTGCCGAGTAGTAGACGCGTGTCCGGATGACGGCGACGACCCTCTATTTCCCAACGCGGTGAGGCTGCGTGCGGAGACGAAAGCTCGTGATTTTTCACAGCCGGTACATGCGCCGTGTCGCCGGATCCCGCGACGTTGGATGCGTCGAAGGAGAACGAAGACGCGATCGCGGGGAACGGAATTTGATTGAATATTTACGGGATTCTCTCGCGATCGTTCCTCGATCTTCACTGATGTGTCTCTCCTTCCGGAAGAGATCTTAATATTCCTTATACGCCGCGCGTAGAGATCGCGAATAGCCGATAGCCTGATGTTTAATATCGCAACTATCCTGTTTACTTTCTCGTCTCTAGAGGCGTCTTGTTCGTTTTTCAAAAAGTAGTTTCTCTTTCAATTCCTTCGACGTGACTGGGATTTGTCATCTCCTCCGTCCGATAATTAAGCTCGAAACGTGATTCTGTTTGAACACTCGTCCGCCACAATGCCGAATTTATGCGGGGTTGGCAACGAGGCGAATCAGATGGCAGATTATTTGTTTTAGCTTGACAAGAGATAAGAGCAGAGGTAAGCGAATGATTTGCTGATTAGTTACGTACTTGCTTCTTGACCTGCATCTAGAGACCCTATAATAGAGTCTAGCTAAAAGTAATTTTATTAAGAATGAAAAAGAAGGATATATATAATATCTCTTTTTATATATGCTATCTTATAATTTAGCCTGTATTTTACGTGTTTTTACTTATTCTTATTAAAGTTGACAAAAGTTTACTAATCAAAGGTTTTTGTCATCTTGATTTTCTTATAGGGTCTCTAGCTGACTTCGCGTAAGATCGTTACGGAAAAGGAACGCTAGAATTAAGTTAAGAAAAACGCGAATTGCTTGTTTTCCTCGAGAAAATGTAATAGTAAGATACCTCGTTATTTGACTATCTCCAGCTTCGCGCATTCTCAGTTTAACATGAAGCGTTTCCTTAAGCAAAGTCAACAGGCAAGCAAATTTAGATAGAGAGAGCGAGATATCTGTTTATCTCATTCAAAGAGAGTTAATTCAGGGGCCGAGTAAGAAACTCGCTTCCGTCTCCACGTTGGTTGATTTTTTTTTTTAATCCGATGCGCTACCATTTTCTGCAGATGTTCACGAATAGAAGCAATCCAATCGTATATCTTTTCTGTTATTCCTTGCGCGAGATAAGTAAAGCATGCTGCAATAGCATATGGAAAAATGTAAGCAGTAAAAACGCAAAGAAATAAGCAAATCAACATTTTTTGTTTTGCTGCTGTTTACGTTATTGTCTATTTTCGATTGTACTACTTACACGCTTACGTTTTTCGACCTAGCATCACTAGCTTTCCTTTGGCTTGCTTTCTCACTGGTTATGACGAATGTATGCAAAATTGAGGGAGAAACTAGTCGAACCAAGTAAAGCTACTTTGCTCGCTTCTACCTTTATCACTTTCTGATCTTCTCTCTTAATTTCCTCGACTCGCCTTCCCCCGTTTCGTGTGAACTCAATATTACGCTCAATGTATACGCGATATGAATAGAGAAGCGAATTGCAGGCAATGTATTTCAGTCAATTTATCTAATCTCTCGATACTTTTTCGCAAACGCGAGATAGGCGAATCGCTCGCTATCTGACTTGCCTTCCTGCAATTTTATATTTACAATGTTGCATTAAGAAAAAAAATGTACTAAATTTTAATAAATATTTGTTTGAATAGTACTGAATATTTATTAGATTTAAATATATATATATATATATATATATAT